TGAGGGGATGCACCCCATAGAAGGGACCCACGCTGGAGCAGCTCATGAAGAACTACAGCCCGGGGGAAGGACCCCACGCTGGAGCAGGGGAGGAGTGTGAGGAGTCCTCCCCTGAGGAGGAAGGAGCGGCAGAGACAACATGTGATGAACTGACCACAAGCCCCATTCCCCATCCCCCTGTGCTGCTTGCAGGGGGGAGGAGGGAGAGAAAATTGGGAGTGAAGCTGAGCCTGGGAAGAAGGGAGGGGTGGAGGGAAGGGGTTTTGAGATTTGGGTTTTATTTCTCATTATCCTACTCGGATTTGATTGGTAATAAATTAAACTAATTTCCCCAAGTCAAGTCTGTTTTGCCCGTGATGGTAATTGGTGAGTGATCTCTCCCTGTCCTTATCTCGACCCGTGAGCCTTTCATTATATTTTCTCTCCCCTGCCCTGCTGAGGAGGGGAGTGATGGAGCAGCTTTGGTGGGCACCTTGCGTCCAGCCAGGGTCAGCCCACCACAGCATCCTTGTAAAGTACCTTATTCAACATTTAATTTTTTACAACACACAATTCCCACAAGTAATGAGTAGGAGGCTCTTGAAAATTAACTAACACATTAATATAATTTGCTAAATACAGAAATTCAAATTCATTTTCTACCTGATTAGCTTCTAGTGAGAGTGCTTCTAGTTGCCCTTCAAGTCTCATCTTCTCCTTCAGAACCTGCAACATTTCGTCATGAGTTCCTGCGATAGAGCTTTCCATAGAAACACTGGAGACAGAGACAGCACATACACAGTTAAGGGGTCAGAATAAAATACTCATGTAGTTGAAGAAAAGTGAAGCTGCAATGAAGAGATACTCAGACTCCACACGTGACCTAGGATTTACGACATTTTTTCTGGCTTTACAATGGATCCAGAACACAGTGAAACAACTTTTGTTACCATCCAAAGAGATAAACAAATTATATTCACGATAAGGTTTTATACATTAGCTTCCTATATTTGCAGCAACTAGAATCTAGTGTGGCACCCATGTATTTGTTATTTTACAGAAGTGCAGTGGTTGACTTCATTATATTCTGTAGCTGCACATCCCATTATAAGCAGACAAATGGACATAATGGGAGCACAAAACCTCCACAACTATTGTCCGCAATTGTCTGCTTTAATGTGAAGGTGCCTAAGAAATACCAACAGCTGCTGCAAAAGAAGGAAGAACAGGTATTTGGTATAAGGGATTCCTTATGCTCCTTCCCTGATGTACCGCCAAGGAGTCTAGAGAAAAAGATCTTCTCTCTGTCATTACTGGAAGAATTAAGTCTAAGCTGGAATAATTATCAACAACTGATTTTACCTTACCATCTCGGGGCACTACACTTTACTCCAACAAAGAAAAAAAAAAAAACAAAAACTTAATTTCAAAATTACCACGTATAAAACATGGACCTGCAGCCAACTGATAAAAAAAATACAACTGCATTGTTAACGGTTTCACCAGTCATTCACTTGCTTGCTGAATCACAGTTTAATACCTACCGTATACACATAAGCTTGTGAGACTAAGTAAATCTCATTCTAAAGGGCTGAAGAAGATAAGAGTATCTAGGACAAGACTCTTGGCATTTCATATCTATTTGAGGTCTGAAAGGTACGTGCATAGATCAGGAAAAGGATGATAATAAATATCACTGAGTCACTTAAGTCTACACCTTCAGACTTTGAAGACCAAGGCCACATCAGTGATTCAGTGAATGAATGACTGCTTCACAAGTAAATACAGATAGATGCAACTGCTAGCAGTACGTTTAAAACACGCAATCAGTGGCAAAAATATCTTCCTCTACAGATATACATAGTAAATAGGTACTCAAGTGAAGTGGCATTTCAGTTTCTTTTAGAATCTGTAAATTAACAACAGATTTGATCACAATGAATGTAAATTAAAACTGGATCCAAAGCTAGTAGAAGGTAAGAGTAATAGGCTGCCTATTCCAAGAAAGTATAATGCCTAATAATGGCCTCACTGTACGGTGATCTTTCTTACCTGCTAGAAATGCTGTCTCTCCTACTCCGTACTTCCCCATTAACTTCTTGCTCTTGGGCTTGATGCTCCACTGCCGCAGCCTGCAGCACCTCACTGATGGAAGGAAATTGCCCCATTGCATCAGGATGTATCTTCTGACCGTTTATTGTATACGGAATACCCTGTTTGCCTTCTGCATTCTGTAAACTGTTATACAGCCCTTTTCCCGACACGCTGCTGTAGGTAGAGCTGTCACTCTCGTTTCCATCCAGCCTCATTCCCACTTCACTCCCATCAATCTCTGAAACGCTATCTCCTGCCAAGGAGGAATTCTCTATTCGATCATCCGTGTCAGAGGGTAGACTAATCTCAGAAACAACTGAAGTTGGACCGCTTCTGCTTTGCTTCAGAGTCCCAGCAGAAAAATCAGCAGCCACAAAATTCCCAGTAGTGTTTCTAGAGCCTGAATCTTCAGTTCTGTAGTCAGCCAAGGACCGGATCTTACTGGGCTTAGATTTTGAACTTCTTCTCTCTTTTGAGGATGATGGAAGTCCCAAGCTACCCAGTTTTGGCCCCCTGGGGACACTGGTCCGCAAAAAGGAGTATTCTTTTGTCATTGCTACAGTGCTAGCTCTTGGCAAGATTTCTGGATTTAACATCAGCTCAGGATCTAGGGTGCTGGAGGGCCGGTTTTTGGATGTAGACTGATTCGACTAAAAGAAGCAAAGAGTCAATGATAAATTCCAGAATGTTACATATGAACTAGCACCAAAGACTTATTTTGCTGTAGAACTTAATACGTAAAGCTCTACACTTTTACATTAATATTTAAATATATGCATCATTTCATAAACAAGGTAAATTACATCAGCAATCAACCCTATCAAGGCTCAGTGTAGGCATGTTGAAAATGATCAAGGTAGACTCCAAAAGCTAACTGAAAAATATAGGAAAAGTTGAACATTTAGGTGACTTAAGTTTTGGGTTTGTTTTTTTTCCCCATTTTAAGTAGCACAAAACGGTATGTTACTGATGAGGTAACAGTGAATCAAATTTTGCATCTCCAGAAGAAGAAAAAAAAAAAAAAAAAGCTTTCTCACATTTGAGAAAACTACTGAACATTTAAAGCAGAGAAAACAGTAATTCAGAGCACAGAAAGGATAAAGTTTTCAAGCTTCTCAACAACACGCTGAATCTAGAAGATCTGTTGTGTGGTACTCACTCTTTCTTGATGTCTCTTTACCCTGTATTGTTTGAGCTGTTCTTCCAGCCGTCGTCTTGCTTGAAGTCTTATTTGTTCTTCTTTCTCCAGTGGGAGTGGAGACTCTGCTGAGCCTGTAAGTGAAAGGTATCTTTACAGCCAAACAGAAAACTCCAACACAGGCAAATCTGATGCAAAAGGAAAAAGCCCCTTCTACCATCAGCAGCATGCTTCATGCTTAAGCAAGGAACGCAAGGAAAGCCCATTGGCATGCACCTCCTCTAATATATCCTTGTGTAAGCACTGATAAAGCCTCTGTATTTCCATTGCTCAGTTTGCAAATGATGTAGTTCCTCCATGTATATATGACAAGAGAATATACAGCAAGAACAAAACTATTGCTGTCATTTAATCTCACCTGCCCTGCACTTCTGACAGTACTAAAATTATAAAACTAAGCAAGACCTACGCAGTCCACTCATTCCCTATGGGTCAGGGAAAGATGTTCCCTAGATGCATTTTCTTATTTTTGTTAACTCACATTAAATCTTTCCTGTAGTAAGGCTTTTTAAAAAATATTATTTCAGAAAAGTCCTGCAGCATTAGATACCTTAATATAAGGGCTTCCTCCTTCTCTCCCATTTATTGCTGTTCTCTTCCCCCCTCTACTACTTAGCTTAAAATCACCTGGTTCTGCTGTTCTTTTTTTTTTTTTTTAAATGTCACCTGTTACTCCTAATAATCAAGAAGATTAGAATAGCTTCAGCCCCAGAAAGCATAAATTCCCCTCCAGCGTAAGAACAATTTTTAAGTGGTAAGGCACGTGCCTCAGCTGCAGCAGAGGGTGGTTTACTGAAAGAAATCAATTGTAGTTCAAAGTAAAAGCTTACTGCAAAAACAAAGTTTAGTCCAAGCTTAAATGATGTTACAGGATTCTAGAGCCAGGCTCAGAGTAAAAAGCTTTATGCAGCAAGAGAAAGCAGGGGCACCACCGTAAATAGATGCTTACACAATTCAGTTTCTTGCATGGGAAGACTTAGTTTGAGAGACTGCAAAGCTTCTTTTCTAAGAACTATGCCCTCAGCACTAGTTCCCTGAGACTTCTTTAGGCTGTCATGGAAACCAGTCACACCTGGGGATGACTCTTGACCCTGCGCACTGCTGGTGGGGTCAAAAGACACAGGAGAGTCGGGGAAGAGCGACTCTGGCCCATTCTGGCAGGCGTCCACTTTGCTGTTTATCTCCAGACTTCCCTCTTCATTTGGCACTTCATTGATGTTAGTATCAGTAGCTGGAAAAAGAAAGTTTCACTCAGCCACACTGTAAGCCACCCCGTTTATATTCACACCTCCACCCAAATACAGCGCTACCGCTATTGCCTTTAGGTTGTAAGAATAGGGAAATTGCTAATGACAGCAACTGGCAGGAGGAATTTTGTAAAGGACTTTTGAGTCTTCATTTAAAAAGACCAGAACAAGTACCTTTCATTTGCTTTACTACGTTGCCTTCAAGCAGGACCTCAAAAGTGATCATAAAACACCTGCAAAACCTCACACGGGTTTTTAAATCTTGTCAGGTTTAGGAGCATGAGATGTCAAGTGTGAGTAACGTGATCTGTGTCATGCCGCGTGGCAACCTACTACAAATAAGACTCAGCAACTGCAGGCCCGTGCCGAATGATTCAGCTACTTGGTATGCTGCTGGGCACTTCGGAGAAAGCATCCATCACCCCGACTTCCAGCCTGGGCCAAGCAGAGTTTCTCAATTTTAAACCGAGTTTAAATTTTTTCAAATTGGACGTCTTCATCAAAAGTACACTAGCAAAGCTCACATGTATCTAAATAATAAATCTACCAATTAAAAGGCAATTCAAGAACCACGTTAATACCGATTTTATCCCCGCTTACTAATACCGGATTTTTCTTCTCCATCAGGAAAAATGCGTCTTCAAAACGAGTTCAACACTTCACAGGTTTATGTTTTGGATTTCTCACACATTTCTACTACACTCGCTGGGTACTACTTACATTTACAAAACTGCTGTTGCAACAAAACTGTGTATCTAACTTTAAATGCACCATTATAGATCTCAAATGAGGAGGGTACTGAAATAGTCACTGGCTTTCTCTTCATTCCCACACCATGTATCGCTGGAGTAACTGGAACTTATTGGAATAATATGGAAGATTTCATTATTTTTTCATAAATATGTTTGAAAATATTTAACATTTAAGACCACAAAGTATTTGCAAGTGGAAAAATCAAGTTTCCTCTTTCTATTTTTTCTTCCTCTCAGAGCTACAGGCTTGAGTAAGCAGTTTGGGGATTTTTTTTTTAAAGTCTGCTCAAAGAAGATGTGGGGGGGAAAGAAAAAACCAAACAAACCAGAACTGAGAAACAGATCCTCCCAAAACTAAGTGTTTCTACGATTCATATGCAGAAATATTCTGGAGCCAGGCAGTTGATTACAATGATTCAATAAAACTTTAATTATTGGTTTAGACCAGCCCATTAACATATTGCTATTAAACTTCCCACCCCCATATAATGAACACTACAAACTTCTGAAAGCAAAACAATTCAGAAAAAGCTATTCTCCTTCATATATGTGGAGAACATTAAAGTGGACCCTGACATTAAATAAGCCGTATGGGGAAAAGTTACAGGTAGGAAGGTAGGACTTTTAAACTGTTTTCCCTTTTATTATTGAGGAAAGCAAAATGTTTCCTTTTAAGCGCAGTCAAATTTCACTTCAGAGTAATTTAAAGAAGAAAAGATAAAATTTCCACCCCTAACCACTTGTTCCCACCTCTGCGGTGCATCCTCCCATAAGCCAGCACAGATGTTTGCGCAGTGAACCCGCTCAGAGGAAACTGAATGAGGAAACTGAACGTGGGTAAAAATAAAAAGTTTTCAGCCTTAGGTTGACAAAACCCATCGGCTCTCTAAGATTTGTATCAAAACACTTTTGAGCATCTTATTTGTCACGCAAAGAACATTTCCAGGCTATTTTAGCCTGAATCATTCTGATTTAGTTTACCATGTGGTCACAAAAACACTTGCAGGCACGACGGAAGGGATGGGTGCAACAAGGATGCAAAGCAGGACAGAGGACAGGACTGCCTTGTTAATGACTAACCAAAGTCAGCGTTTAAGGCGTTTTAAAACAAAAAGATTATCAAACCCAAATTTAAAATAGATGTCAGTGCTAAGAATAGCCACAAGAAGCCAAAAATAAGATACCTCACACATTCAAAAATATTGTTTCTGCACATCTTTCAGAAACTGCAGCTATTACTGCAGCAGGTTTATACTTTATTTACGTTTTTATCTTCACAACTGTGAGTGCTATACATACACAAAAGAGATGCTGGAGCAAAATTTTGAGGAATGGTTTCCTGGCAACTTCCTGAGGCCATGAGATGCTCAGAATCTAAACGCTGCCTTGAACTAAAGTAATTTAATTGCAGTAGTGTCGATACAACTGTGGTCTTTTTAGAACAGTGGGGGAGGAGATGCAATTAGATTGAAAACAGTAGAAAGACAGACTACCTATTTGTGAGCCACAATTCAATTGTTTGGACGACGTCCAACACAGGGGAAGACAGGATCTCCAACTTCATAAAAGATGAATGAATCATCATATAAGTACACTCTGCCAGTCCGATAATGGGCAGCGTAAGAAATGCAAATAAAGTCTCAGGCCTCCACTTTCTTGCCTGGGACAAGATGACAAATCTGCGGTACGAGAGGAGGGCGGAAGGCTAACAACTTCATCACACGATTACTTCCTTTTACGTAAGGAACCTCTGTGCTTTTGTGTATCTACACAGCCACAACACATACGCCCCCTCAACCCATCTACCACCATATCCCTGTATGCCAACACATCCTCAGATACCTGTCCTGGAAACATGGAGATTTCAATTCAATACAAGGAAAAGATTTTCACAATGAAAGCAGTTAAATACTGGAACAGGTAGGGAGGCTGTTGAACCTCCCTCTCTGGAGATTTTCAGAATTCAACACGACAAGGCCCTGAGCAACCTGATCTAGCTTTAGAACTAGGTCTGCTCTGTGCATGAGGGTGGACTAGACGACCCACAGAGGTCCCTTCCAACCTAACTTTGATTCTACAGTCTACTCAGGTCAGTACTCTCAAGCTTCTTGTAAACAGCTGCATGATTATTTTATTATAGAGCTTGTCTATATATAAAAGTTATTTTGAGATAATTTGGGGAGTACATGCCAGCATCTCTCTTCCGTAAGTGGAAGTTTAGAGAGACTTTTTAAGTACGTTTCGCTTTTTGCCTAATCAATTTGATTTATCAGGAAAATTTCTTTTGCCAGAATAAAGTACTCCAGTCATGAACTTACTCCGTAACAATCATTTCAGAACTGGTAGTTCTAGAGAATTTCAGGTATACACTCCTGGAAACACTATCAGAAGAGAGTAACACCCTGAACAACACATACTCAACCAACAGCCAGTAGCACTTAAGTTAATAGTTTGGTTTTGTTTTGAAAGAATAAGTTTTAAAACAAAAGATAGTTTTCCCACATGCAGAGCCATAGCCTTCAAACTTGCTTAAAACCACTGTACAAGAAATTCCTGGCCTCAAGGAAAGAAGTCCTTCAGCATCACCTGAACAACAAAATAGATAGTTGTAGAGAAGCCTGGGTAAGACCAGGAAATTATTTGGTGCATGTAAGTAACTTACTGTTAACTTCATCTGTTGCAACTGGCAAATCTGACTTGGCTTTACGATCCAAAAGTTCTTCAGAGCTGCTCGGGGCCCCATTACCGCTTCTGTTCTCCAAGTGAACGTCCTGCTGGACAGACGAGGAGTCCATGGTAAAAACGATCCAGATGCCTGGAAAGTTTTTCTTCCGAATAATCTGCTGCCAAGCGAACTACCAAGTCCTGTTTCTCTCCATCAGCAACAACAGCATCAAGACGTTACACGGGAGCGCAGTTCTGAGCTTTACAGCTGTTGGTGTGCAGCAGGCAGACGACAATTCCAGATCATGGAAACAGCTTGCAGCCAAAGTTGTAACCACCAAGGAGCTGCATCCTCTAGAAACAAAAGGTAGTAAGTTTACAAACATTTCTTAGAGCTTTGAAAATACGAGTTAAAATTAAAGTAGCGTTCACAGATTACCCACCAGCCCCACTTCAACACACAGAACCAGGACACGGGGTAATAATAACAATGAAATACAACCAAGTATCCGGCTTTTGTGAATAAGAAGTGATCTGTTTAACAGCTTTTTTATTATCACTTTTTTTTTTTTTAGTAGCATTGATACACCAGCATAATGATGCAACAAGATAATACTCAGCAAGACAACTGATTTAAGATCACTGTCCCTTTTAACGGCAATGCCTCTTTGGCCTCTGCTTTAATAAGCGAGCCAGATTCAGAGTAGCATTCTGCTCTGTAAATTACAGTCTGGACTTTTATACCATATATTTCTTTTCAAGGGCCTACCCCCGCTTTAAGTTTCAATAATTTTAGTCAGAACGCAGTATGGAATTCAGATTTAATTTTTTAAAATTATATTACATCATTACTGTTTACTTGTCTGCAGAGCAACGAGTACGTATCACTGTACAGAGCCCAAACTACTAATTACAGCACACGCTGGCAGTCGGAACATGGCCTGGGCTGCAGTTCAACTCTGCCTTCTCCCATGGTGAGTCAAGAGGAGAATTTCCAAACACAGTTTCAGAGAATTTGCAAATGATTCTCCAGGCATTCAGATCTTACCTTTGGGTATAGACCCAGCCAGCTCACACAATCTGAGAGAGGCTATGGTACACAGTCACTTCAAGTATTTAAATTTTGTTCAAATAGTTACTGACAGCTGAATTCAGATTACAAAATGTTATGGCTCCTATTTAATGGAGAAACATAAGAAAACCCCAGTTAAAAAAAAAAAGGGGGGTATTGTGGGGAGAGTATCAAGCCAGGAATAGTTCAATTGCGTTTCTACATGAACACAAACATTCTGAGCAACATTCCTTCCATATCTCCAGAGAGCACTTGTGCAACCGCTACTGTACCAAGCTGCCCTGGTGACCCAGCAGCACCCACCACTCATCTCCAAAACGCTACTGAAGCTGCCAACAGCTCGGGACATGCCGCACTAGACGATTACGTAGCTGACCCTGACGTAGGTGAGCTGCAAAGGGGCCAGAAACCCGGAGCACCTTTCTAAAAGGGAAACCTCCACCGAGCAGAAAGATGAATTCCTTCACTGCGATTTGTTATTGACGTCAAAAGCTTTTCTGTGTCGTAAAGCTTATAATAGACGTTCTGGAAGAAGAGCTGTTCTACAGCAGACACTACATGCCAGGTCACGAAGAGGAATCACAGACAAAAGGCAAGCACGGTTCAGGCTGCTCACACCTGGGCAAAATCCAGCCACCATTAGGTGGTTTGCTATCCTCGTCATAAAACACCCTTTAAACAGTCATCAAACACCTTTAAATAGTCATGAAGAGCGGCTTCCTCCTGTACAACCCCTTCCCAAATATTAAAGGTTGGAGCATTTCAGCTTCTAAAGCCCTTTTGTGTCCCTGAGCACAGACACCCACACAGATGTACGCCCACCACGGGAACCCAGCAGCAACCTCCCAGGCAACGGCGCTGTACGAAAACCACCGATTTTGACTAAAACCCCAGAAAGCAG